TAGTTAGGACAGTAACCTCGAATTCCAATCATCAAGAAACGAGATTAAAAAATCATAGTAACTTAACTAAGCAACATAAATCACGAACATGTAAATGATTAGCAGGAGTTTCCATATTTTGACAACTGATCTAAAAGTGCTTTTATTTCATCAGATGGTGAAGCATCTAAAGTGATTAACCAAGAATGGCATAAACCGTGTTCTGACCAAGTGGAGCACGGAGAGCGAGCTGATCAAAAGTGAGGCACTCTCCACCAGCCTTGTGGATCCTAGCTCTAGCCCTTTCACTGAACCTCAATGCAGTAACTTTAAGAGCCGGAACATCGTCGACTCTAACATCATCAGTCACAGTACCAACAAGGACAGCAATCTTACCATCCTAATAAAATCGAACACAGGTACATCATTAATTAGTTCATGAGTGGCCACCAAGTTACATCGTAGTAACCTTTAAAATGAAATAAAAAATCATACCTTCCCATCCATGTATCGGATAAGGCGAGAGAGAGACAATGGCGCTTTGTAAGAGCCGTGCTTACCTCATAAAATTAAAGGCAATTGCCTAAGGCCACCAAAATATTAAGCATTAAAAGGCCACATTTTATTCAAAAATTAGATATATGTATTTAGTTTATATTATGTATTAGAGCTTTTTGTTTGAGAAATGCATAAAATTAATAAATGAAGAATTTACAAGGAAAATTAAATGGTTAAACTATCTTGTTTATACTATTCAAAACTATTTTATAATTTTTTTAATATTTTCATTTTAAAAATGAAGGCCACATTAATCAAAATTGCCCAAGGCCTCGGTGAAGCTAAGCACGGCACAGTGCTCATGAACAAACGCTTCAAGATCACGGCATTGAACTTGCTTTCTGTTCTCCTCACCAGAACTCGGTACGCCTAAATATCACAATTGCAGAAAACGAATCGAAAAACAAAAGAAATAAATTTCTCACGGATATTATAAAATCAATCAAATCCTCAACGTTAAATGTACCTTGACAAGGAGCTTGAGATAGACATCGTCGGATTTAGGCGCAGTACGCTTCGTCTTCTTGCTCTTACCTCCGGCTATCAAATCGATACCCTAAAATGATGAAACACAGAAGGTGAGAGCCAAAATCTTGAAGAAGCAAAAGTGAAGATTGCTTGGGACTGAAGATAAGAAGTGAACCATTGTTGCTGCTCTGCCTTTGCCTTGTAAAAAACCTCGAGAAGAAACTACTAGTAATAATATGTTACAACAATTTAGGGTTTTTTGATGGGCTCAAGATAATAATCGGCCCATTAATAGGAATATTGGGCTAATAGATGGGCTTATAAGGGCTTTAGGAGGAACAGAGTTTTGTTCTGGTGAAAACTAGTAAAACCTCACTCTTTTTTTGTTTTTCCGCTTTGGCAAATTCGACGGAGAAATTCGATGGAGATGCAGGAGGCTAATCAAGGAGGAGGAGGAGGAGGATCGGAGGTTTCTCCGAATCAGACGATTTACATCAACAATCTCAACGAGAAAGTGAAGATCGATGGTGATTAATTGCTTCTTCTTTTTATCGTGTCGTATATCTTCTTCTTCGATTTGAGTTTTGAGTTGATTGAGATATTTATCTTCCTTGTGTGTTATTGGTAACTTTCTTCTACAGAGCTGAAGAAATCGCTGAATGCAGTGTTCTCGCAGTTCGGGAAGATACTGGAGATATTGGCGTTCAAGACGTTGAAGCACAAAGGACAAGCTTGGGTAGTCTTCGACAACGCCGACTCTGCTTCCACTGCTATTGCTAAAATGAATGATTTTCCTTTCTACGATAAGAACATGGTACGATTCCCTCCACTCCAATTACTTTGTTGATCAATTCTTCTTTATCCATGGGATTTGGTTGCCCAGCGTTCGTGGAATCCGTAATTAGGGTTTGAATCTACTAGGTGGATGTTTAATTTCAGTGATTGGATTCTTATTATATTCATGAAGCTTTTTTAGTTGAAAGACCAAGTTTTGTGGTTGCTTTTAGGTTATTGAACATGTTTTAGGTTGTGGAAATACTTATATTTTTCTAGCTTCTGTTTATGAAATTCTTATCAATCACTTTGCTATATTATTATTTCTTAACTGTAACGATCTGGACAGAGAATACAATATGCCAAAACAAAGTCAGATGTTGTTGCCAAGGCCGATGGTACATTTGTTCCTCGCGAGAAGAGAAAGAGACATGAGGAGAAAGGTGATACTTTGAATTTTTTTTTTTACTTCATTGGCTCACTTGAACCATTGCTGCATGTTGATTTCTTGCTCTGTTTCTCATTCCCACGTTTGCATTTGATCATTAGTTGTCACATCACATGCCTGCACATACTATGTTAAGCCGTGTCTCATTCATAACTTTGGGATATCTTTGTTTTCTCCACAACCTATAATCAGTATGTATAAACAGTATGTTGTCGCATCTAAAAATTGTCTTTGGGATTGCAGGAAGCAAGAAAAAGAAAGACCACCACCATGATTCTACACAAATGGGCATGGCCACGAACTCTGCATATCCAGGTGTCTATGGAGCTGCACCTCCTGTGAGTTATCTCAACATTTTCTTAACTCTAATCTTGATTCATGTTTTTACGAGACGCTCTTAATTCTTTTAATGTATTCTGATGATTGTTCTTATTGCCACTCTTTTCACAGCTTTCGCAAGTACCGTACCCTGGTGGTGTGAAACCCAATCTGCCCGAGGCACCAGCTCCTCCAAATAACATTCTCTTTGTCCAAAACCTTCCTCACGAGACAACTCCAATGGTGCTTCAGATGCTGTTCTACCAGTACCAAGGGTTTAAGGAAGTTAGGATGGTTGAAGCCAAACCGGGAATCGCCTTTGTGGAGTTTGCTGATGAGATGCAGTCAACGGTCGCAATGCAGGGACTTCAAGGTTTCAAGATTCAGCAAAACCAGATGCTCATCACGTACGCCAAGAAATAGACAAATTTCGTTTGATCTGTGGTTTCGATGCGATGTTTGTATCTGTCAGTGTTACTTCTTCCATGGTTTGCGCAAGAAGGACACTTATCTTTCTTGTGTGTTTGTTGTAGAATTTCTTAGAATATTACACAATTATCTAACTTACAATTTTTTCATCTAAACAATAAGCGTCTCGATTTGGTGTTTGTCTAGCTAATATTTCGTCACCTTCTTCCACTTATGGAGATGCCTCTTCTTTGTCTGTAGCTCTTCTTCCATCTCCTCATTGTAGAGATATTTAGTTATTTAACCTATCTTTAATCAGCAGATATCTGAAACCTTTATTTTGACTGGTTTAACGAAATAAGTAAAACTATTCTCGCTAAGTGAACTTTGATCTAAATGGTTTATTACGGTTGATTGTTTTTTTTTTTTTTTACGAATTCTTGGATATCTAATTAAAGAAAAACAAGAAAGAAGAAGCAATCATTATGTGATGTTGGATTGGTGAAAGAAAAGTCTTTGTAGTGTAGCTGTTTTCTTTGTTGCTGATGAGGTCAGCGATTATTAGGTCCAAAACTCGTGCGTCAAGAGAATTGAGTGAGCTCTCTCTTTTTTGAGATATTGGACGGAGGACACTCCATGCATTTAAGTGATCAAAAGCATTAATTAGACGATGGTTCAATAAATGAGTGAGCATTTAGTGGGAAACACGAGTGTGATACGGACACGTAAAAGCATTAATGTGTTTATATATAGATTTGGTGATGACTTCATTGTCTGACTCTGTCTCCTCTTTTTACAAGACAAAAGATTTGTTGCTGATTCATCTCTGCCTCTCTGGTCTATGTGACACACGCTGCCTAATTAGTGTTATGTTGTATCTCACCTGCTTACTAGCTTATCTTAGTACTTAGTAGTAAAACATTAATGGAACATTATGTTTATGTCCAAATCCAATGAATCAACGCTATAAAACATTAATGGATCACTTAGCTAGAATCTTCAAATACTATAACCTCATCATATAATTAATGTAAGAAGGAGGAATGATATCAACATAGGGACCTTACACAACCTCATCATATTTTGAATGTTTTTTTCTTCTATGTTAGAGAAAGTTAGGACAACACGCAAAGCCCTACGTGCACTCTTTCATTATTCCTCTCTTCTTTTGCCCCCAACAGTCTTTGACGACCCACCTTGCTCTTTTTGACCCTTCTCTCTCACGCACATGTATGTTATTAATTCAAATGGTTCTTCTATGCTTCGGCATTTATCATCATGATATATTTACATATTGATCGACAGAGGAAATAAAAAAAAACCATTTATATATGTAGTAGAAAATCTACAGAGATAAAATGTATACTGTATATCAATATTGAGTATGAAGAGTTTTAATATTAACTAAAGCAAAAAAAGTAAAATAGATTATTATTTATTAGTGGGTCCATTTTATTTTGTTAATTATACCCGTAATTCATTCGAATCCTTCTGATGAAGTGGAAGAATACGGATACTGTATTTTTTTTACCATGCCCTAGAGCAGAATGCTAGCTAAAGATTAATCGTGAGAGAGGTCTAAGGTATTGCTTGTCAACGTGTGACCGGCTCGATAGGATCCTAGCAATAGTACAAAATATGGTACACCTAGCTAGGACTTATATACGTAGAGTTTATGAAATTTAGGGCAGACAAGCCCCCACATTAAAAAAAACAAACAATAATATGGAATTAAAAAAAGCTTTCAAAACTTAGCAGTGATTAGACAAGGTATTGTTTGGCCCTAGCGATCCTCTCTTCACTCTCTCACTTTTGTAGTTCAACCCTTCTTTTGCGTGAGATGCCATCATGGCATGGCATGGTTCTTTTGCCTTACGTAAAACACACTCACGCCAACACACACCACATAACATAAACTATACATATACGTATGTGCGTGTGAGTCTTCCATTAATGCAATCTTTGGGCCTATATATATACAAACCTTCCATAACCAAAGTTCTTTCATACTACAAAAGCTCTCTCGTACTTGGAAATGCGGGTGAGAATCTCCATGTTGGAGAAGCAGGGCACGTGCAAACCAACAAACACGAAATCCGTCTCATGTGTTTTGCACGTACTCCCCTTCTCCAACATGAGCTCCTCATCCATTGATGTTATCCTTTAAACCTTGTTGATAAAAAATTCTAGCAACTCAAGTTTTTTTTTTGGTTGTTCTTCACTAGCTCTTCTTTTTGTGCGTGTGTTAAATCATATGAGTTCGACGGTTGATTGAATTTTCAAGTTCTCATATATGTAAAGTAAATGTAGGCGTGGGCGTGTGTTTGCTTTAATTTGGTTAATTTTGAGCTTTAGTGAGATTTCGTTTTGAATTTTAGTATTGTTTCATATAGGTTTCCTTTGTCCCAAACCGACAAATTTGCTTATGGAGTTGGTTAAGATTTGATGTTTGAGTCTAGAATTGCTTTTCTTCATTTTCAGCGAAATCTGTTTGAAAAATGGCCCTAGTAAGATCGGTTAATCTATATGTGACAGTGTTAGTATGTGATATTCTTGAAATTAGACTCCGTTGGTTATATATTTGTATAAGCCAAATTGATGCATCAATTTCACATCAGGATGGTCTAAATGCGGAAATGGATCGCCCGTGCATATATAAGGATAACTAACGTTTTCTGCAATTTCATAGCAAGTAGTTCTCTTAATCATGTTAGGGTGTCCATGATGAAGCTATCAAGCTCTATATATCTTTCTCCATATATAGTTCTCATTGAGCTCTTTGACTTGGCATCACGGGAGTGTTTTAGAACTTGTCGTTTGTATACGATCACTGCATAGACCGTCATTCGTTTCAAATTACCTACAGAGTTATACATTTTGCTTTTGTGATCTGGTTTTTGCAGCATTGAGAAGTTCATTATTCATGATATACACGAAATGGAAGGAATATATGGAGAGTCCCATGATCTGCATGTAAGATGGAATTAATCTACTGCTCTTTTACTTGTTTGAAGATCAGAAACTGCTACATCAAGCTAGACTTGTGCATACTCCCTCCCTCTCTTTGTTTTTTTTTCAAAATTTATTATTGTTTTACAATAATGTTAATTTTATCTTCTTCTTCTTTTTTTTTGGTGTATAAAATGGCAAAATGATAAAACAGAGGAAATGTTAGTATAATTTAAAATAAATTTATTATTCAATTTTTTTAATCTTAATTTTATGTTAATTAATTTAATTGACCAAATAAGATTTCAGTGAGAATGCTCAGAACAATAACAGGATTAAAAAAATCAATATATAAAAATGACTTCATTAGTAGTGAATAGTGATTAATAGAAAAATCAATCAATATTTCTAAAGTTGAAAATAAAATAACAGTGCCACCAACAAGCTAAAATATATTTTACTTTTAATTATTTGATCTAAACAGAAATTGTGTGGGGAGACTGAAGAGGTAAGAAAATCGACAAGAGCTTATCATCCATCCTCAATTCATCTCACACTCTCCTTCACTCTTCTCTCTACACACAAAAAAATGGATTCGAACATTGAAGAAAAGAACCTAAGCCCAGAAACAAAATCCGCAGAAGAAGAAAACCCACTCGCCATTATCCATTCTTCTCTACCAATCGCATCTCTTTCTCTAACCTTGTTCCCCACATCTACTCAATTCCTCAAACTCTTTTCTCATCACCCAAACAAGGTTAAGATCCCTACGCAGGCCTCTTCTCTCACTCATCTCTCTCTTTCTTCTTCTGTCTCTCCTTTACCTTCCAGAATCTCTTTCAAATCCACCATCGCTGCTAACCCTCTTCAATCCCCTCTCTCTATCGTCCCTCGTCGTCCTGTCGATCCTTCCTCCGCCGCCGCTCTCCGCCGTGCTGCTGTCGTCTGGTTCCGCAATGACCTCCGTGTCCACGACAACGAGTGTCTCAACTCCGCCAACGACGAGTGCGTCTCCGTTTTGCCCGTTTACTGCTTCGACCCTAGGGATTACGGGAAATCGTCTTCCGGGTTCGACAAAACGGGGCCTTTTCGTGCCCAGTTTCTGATTGAGTCCGTCTCGGAGCTCCGGAAGAATCTCCAAGCGAGAGGGTCGAATCTAGTTGTCCGTGTCGGGAAACCTGAAGCTGTTTTGGTGGAATTGGCTAAGGAGATTGGAGCTGACGCGGTTTATGCTCACAGGGAAGTGTCTCACGACGAGGTTAAAGCGGAAGGGAAGATAGAGACGGCGATGAAAGAGGAAGGCGTTGAAGTCAAGTATTTCTGGGGAAGCACACTCTATCATTTGGATGATTTGCCCTTCAAAATTGAGGACTTGCCGTCAAATTACGGAGCTTTCAAGGATAAAGTCCAGAAATTGGAGATTAGGAAGACAATCGCAGCACTTGATCAATTGAAAAGCTTGCCCTCGCGAGGAGACGTTGAGCTTGGCGATATTCCTTCTCTCCTTGATCTTGGCATTAGCCCCACTGCTAGAACCAGCCAGGTTTGAGTTTTCTTCATCTTTGCTTAGCTTGATTGATTCCTAGCCATCCAGGTTTAGGCATTTAGATAAGGTGGTGGAATTAATAATTCAAAATTTGCCAATTGGTTCCATTTATATAAGAGAAGAGCTACTTAGCCATAGAGATTAGAGACAGACTCATATGGATAAATACTATCAAGTGTAAACAGTAGTATTGCTGTTTGAAGGTCCATGGATTCTTTGTAGGATCGATGAACGTTTCTCTTTAGGTCCAATATGCGTCTGCGGCTCTTACACCTTTTCTTAGGAGTTAACACTTTGTTCCGCACAGGAGGGGAAACTGACAATGGTTGGAGGAGAGACAGAGGCGTTGACTAGACTAAAGAGCTTTGCAGCGGATTGTCAGGCTCGTTTGAGCAAGGGAAACCAAAAAGGAGGCAACAACAGTGTCTTTGGTGCAAACTTCTCTTGCAAGATATCACCTTGGTTAGCCATGGGAAGCATCTCTCCTCGTTCCATGTTCGATGAGCTGAAGAAAACAATCTCTGCATCAACCACCACAACTCCAAGGTAATGTCTCAAAAAAACAACACTTCAGGGAACTCTGGTGAACATAGTAAGGGTATGTGTCTAATTACCATTCTTTGAATGATTTTCTCAGGAACGGACCGGGAGATACAGGACTCAATTGGTTAATGTATGAGTTGCTATGGAGGGATTTCTTCAGGTGAGCTCTTGCTTTCTTAACTTGTCCCCGAGTAGAATTTGTCTTTTTGTCTGAATCTCTCTTTGATGAGTTTTAAACTTGGAACAGGTTTATAACCAAGAAATACAGTTCAGCGAAGACGCAGGTCGAGGCTGGTCCGGCTACAGCCTGTACTGGTGCCTTTGCTTAAACCTTTGAAAACTTCTGGTGACTGGAAAAGTTAGAACCCATCTGTTTTTTGCCCTACTCTTGGTGTATGGTGAATCTATTCGCTATCTGGACAGGACTTAACTGCTCACTTTTGAAACTTGAGTGTCTGGAGAATGAATTATAAGCTTTTTTTTTTTTTGGCTCAAACAAGTTGTCCGTTCCCTGTTCTAAACATTTCAGATACTCATTCCATAAAAAATCTCTAGAATTTGGTTAAGACTTGAGAATGTATCTTAGAAAATATCTCAAGTAGTTGTGTCTATGAATATTAAATTCCGGAATATCAGAAGAAAGTAACGAAAATATGCACTTTGTGGAAAATAGGCATTAGAACCTCTACAACACTATCAAAGTACCGTAGTAAACACTAGTTACTTGGATGGAAGTTATATAAAAGTTTCTATTGATCGACTAAGATTATTTGCCTGACATTAGAGAAAGTTTTGCATTTTCACTAATTTAAAAAGACTACAAAAATCATTGTACCACCATATATGTACTCCATACACTGCAACTAAATAAAACAAAAACTGCAGGATAAATAAAATGTACTCAATATATGTACCAACTCCTAACTAAAGATGAAGCCTCCAAAATCATTCTCAATATGCTTTATATTTGTAACACATATTTAGCCAACTGCCTTTGAACTTTGATAATTTTATATAAAACCCCTTAACAAGTAAGAAAAACAAAAACCGAGACATATGAATAAGGCTTTCTCTTCTACTCATGGGGTTTTTCCTTTTGTTGCTTCTTCTATATGATGCCTGAAACTTTCAAAGAAGAAAGAACAACGAAGACGACCCAAAGCATCATGAAATAGGCAGAAGTAAGCCAAGCCCATAGCCTTGGACCTCCAAGCTCAGCTCCTATGATCAACCTTCTCAACACAAGCACCACAATACATCCCACTGATGTCGCAAAGAATATCAGCAGCGAAAAGCTTAATCCTTTTGCGTTTTCTATGTATAAAGGCTCTCTGTATGCAAAGTAGTTGTAGACTGTGTTTATCAGCCACGGGACTCCAATCCCCACATAGATGTTCACCGAGTTACTGCAGAATTATCACGAAAAAGATCATGAAAAGATCTTTAATTATTTGAAAAGAGTTTTGAGATTTTTACCTGCAGGTGATGTTTGCAATGGCTGAATCTGCGGTTAGTTGTCGCTCTGCAGCGATTTTACTTGCTACTAAGTCTGGCCATGAAGTTCCACCTGCGAGTGCTGTGAATGCTATCACATATGGGTTTATTCCTGCAAGATGAATAGAGTTTCAAATGTTTTAGAGCTAAAAGGTTGAATCTTTAAACTTAAGTTTTTGAAAGCAGTGAGTGTGTGTACCAGTGACACAGCTTATAAGGTCGGTAAGTCTTGTGACAACAAAGGCTACTCCACTGATGAAGAGGAGAGAGCAGATGAAAGCGATCCAACCGTGAGCAATGTTGCAAGGAGGCACAAATGCAAAAAGAAGTTTCCAAGGGGCGAGGAGTAATTGCCAGAAAGATTTCGCGATTCGAAGATAAATGCTATCCACTTTCTTTGATTCTGATGTTTCCAACTGTTTGATTAATAATGGGAAGAGAAACAAGTTAAGAAAGACGTGTTGCTATTTAGTAATGATCAAAAGCCCAAAATAGGATATAGAAGCATCTAAAAACACTTGGTAAGTTGAAGATTTTTACCGTTATTGCATCCACGAATTGATGTTTCCAAATGTCGAAAACAGTAGAATTCTTCGCCTTACCCTTCTTA